GGCAAGGGCCTTCGCTAAGGATACCACAATTACGTTCAAGAAAAATTTAGGCAATCATTCATTTATATAAAACATAGCATTTCACATTATCCGAAAATAATTAAAGCTAAACGTAACTTTATAGAGTTCTTACTCACCATCTAATTAAACTTGCATTATACTTTGTACAAAAGATTCACAAGTATGCATATACCAAAAAGCATAGATATTCCAATGGTTTACAATGCAAGCAATTCACGAATTATAGCACATAACTGTTCATATCGAAACACTTAAACATATAATCAATGCTTCTAAATTCATATTTATCACATGAATGCATCCTAGATCTTATCTAGACGCTTATTGCTCCTTTTGGACAAGTGTGTGAGTTATTAACTCGTGCTCTGATACCACTCTGTCATGACCCGAACCCGCCCCTATGGGTTAAGGACATAACCGGCCAGTAACCCTGAGATTACCTACGGCCTCAAACCAAAACAGACGTAACCCGTCAGAGTATAAGGGCCAATGGAAGCAAAAATTTTAAACTTTGTCCATAGAGCCGTGCTTACATGCACATCAAAACAAACCATACGTATGCACGTTAATAACTCACAACAAAAACATAGTACCAAAAGTTCTGCACAATAGGATCATTCGAGTCTAAGTCAACCCATCTCCACTATATACAGATATACACAAAGTCCTCGCCCACATGACAAGATATAATACATAACAAAATGGCAAAAATGGGTCTCGTACGTGAGACACAAGGGTTGACTCTCCAAAACCTTTGTTGTTCCTGACAGGCTTCACTTGGGCTGGGTTTGGACCCCTCTTGTCTCACCTACAAACACATGAATGAGCGTGAGCGATAGCCCAGTGAATAATATCAAATACAGAAGTTATACAAACGATATGTAGAACAACATACTCCAAACGGCCTTGAGCCCAATTCATATTTCTATTTAACATATACATATATTTAATTTAGGTCAAGTGACTGTCGTTCCCAACATATTGGCCTTTGGCCCATTCATCTTTCCATAACAAACTGGCCCTTGGCCCATTCAGACTTTCGTTCATGTCAAAACGGCCTCTGGCCCATTCATTCTATTATTCAGATCGAACTGTTATTCTTGTCAAACTATTACTTATATCAAACTATCATTCGTGTCAAACTATTATTTATGTCAAACTATCACTCGTGTCAAATTGGCCTTTGGCCCACTCAAATGACAAACTGGCATTTGGCCCATTTAAATGGCACACTGGCCTTTGGCCCATTCAGGCTTTCATTCATAACAGAACGGCCTCTGGCCTATTCATTCATGTCAAAACGGTCTTCGGTCCACTCATTCATGTCAAAACGACCTTCGGTCCATTTATTTATGTCAAAACGACCTATAGTCTATTCATTTATGTCAAAACGACCTTCGGTCCATTCATTCACGCCAAAACAACCTTCAGTCCATTCATTTATGTCAAAACAACCTTCGGTCCATTCATTTATGCCAAAACGACCTTCGGTCCATTCATTTATGTCAAAACGTTGTCCACCAATTGAATTGACGAACTTATAAAACTTACATAGAAGTGAGCAATTGGACAACAGTATATTTCAAATGCCTTGATAAGATATTACTCACAGTGATCGGTTGGTTGGTTCGCCGTAGAGCTCGACCCTACACATTTCACGAATACAAAAGGGTCATTAACAATTCAATCCGTCCCTTATTTCACATATTCCTCTTTAGGCCTTGTTCTTATCTCTTTAACTCATTTACAATGCTTAACACATGCCTAAGAGTGCTTGCAAGTGAAAAAGAACGGAAAACGAAACACTGAATGCAAAAACAAAATTTCAGAAAATAGGGTCCCCGCTCGAGCATGGACTCCACCGCTCAAGCGGACCCTTAAGGCCTCCAAAAGTACTGGTTGCATGAAAAATACGCTCGAGCGTGAAATGGGGCGCTCGAGCGGAAGGCCTGTCTACGTCGCTCCCTCGCTCGAGCGTGAACTAACCCGCTCAAGCGGACACCAAGTCTGCAAAAAGTACTAGGAGCACGTTTTTCCCGCTCGAGCGGCCATTACCCCGCTCGAGCGGACATCAAAATTTTGGGTTTCCCAGATTGTGTTCTTGAGCTCAATTCGACCTTCAAGCTAACATTTCTTGCATGCAATGGCTCAAATCTCAAATATAATTATACTAACATGGTATAAACCCCAAATTACAACCCAATGAAGCTCAATTTCACAAATAAATCACATGAATGCCCCAATCTCCCATCAAACTCATTCTAACATAACAAATTCATGCATTCAAGCTCATATTCTCATGAATTGTATATGCATGTACTATATAACCCTTACTCTTAACTTAGATGATGAAAAGGTAATCAAAACATGAGCTTCAACTACAAATTTACATGGATCATACCCTTTGAGCTCAACATGCCATATTCAAACCAATTACACACATGCATGCACACGTGGGTCTTCATTACAACAAATTCAACTCAATTTCCTTATGATCAAACTAATCCATGTTCTTGACCCTCCTTCAAACTTGAATTCACAAGATGATAACTAAAATGCATGAATTACTCACCAAGGAGCTTAATCTTCCAAACTCTAGTCAATTCTTGGACTTAATCTTCAAGATTCCAAGCTTTGAGCCAAAGCTACACAATCCTCTCCCTCTCTCTCTCTAATGCCGACCCTCTCCTTTCTCTCTTGAGTTAGCATCAGCCCAAAATGATACAAAGGTGAGGAATTGATTATAATAAGGCCCCTATTTAGCCCCACTCAACACATTATTTCATTATAAAATATTTGGGCACTTAATTCATCAATTTAATCGATTTAATTTGACCCAAATCAATTTTCAATTAAATTCCACCGTAGGCTCTAAAAATTACGCCAATCACAATGGCACAATCAATTTCAGGTTTTGTGGCCGGTAAGACCCTCAATTTAATCTCCAAAGCGAAGAAATCAAACAGATATTCCTACGGTGAACAGGTAGAAATTCAAAACCACATATTTTCACATAATGGAACACAAAATCATAGTAAAATGCATAATCACATCATATTAAGGACCGATTAACATATTACGGAACAGGGGTATCATAACAATAATCTGACAACTGAAACATTCTAGGATCCCAAATGCATAGCAGCCCTCTAGCTTTTCCTTCAGCCTCCACTGACATGTATTCAAACCCGTCCCTATGCCATAACCTTCTGACCTCCACCTCTGATATACTTGATAACTTAGTCTCTTGAAATAGAACCATATCAATCTTTCTAGCGATTAGGAGTTTCTTAATCTGTCTTTTTTTCTCAGATCTTCCAGCTCCTCTAATATTCCAGCTTAACATCTTCATAACAACATGTATTAACCACTGTAGACCACCCACAAAGAGCTGATTACAGGCACCTGCCATACCCCTTTCCCACTCTCTCCTTATCACCCTCCTCAAGCAGGAATAATTGTTGTATTATTGCATCATCTTGGCCCTTGGTTTCAATCCCCAATCTTTTCCCTAATTGTAGAGTTCCCTGTGCTTCCTTCACTCTCCCCTTATCACATATGTATTGAAAATTTTCTGAGAATGACTTGGACAACACTTTTGCTACAGCTATGACCACTATATTTTTTTGGTTGCCTTTGCTTGACCTAGATCCTCTCTGCTCTAATCTTCTAACAAACCCAGAAGAGCCTCCTTTTACTGACTGGTTTCTGTAGCCCATTGTAGACGTCCCCGAACATCCCGGGAGGGAAATCCCGTTTTGTTCATTGGGCTCACTACAGTTCAGGACTCAATATCACAATCCTGTATCTAATCTCGCAGAGTGCAATGCAAGACCGATGAAATCATCAAAGAGTCCAAATTCGGCAAATCATTTTTGAAAACAGATTTTTTGGAAGAAGTGCCAAACATGGACTACTTTGCCAGATACAGAGTCGCCACCTAAATATTTTATTTTGGGAAATTTAGGAAACCCTGACTCGTTGCCTAAGGCCACGTGTCCGTCATCACCAAAGTTGCCTCGGCTCGGGAACTTGGGTACGATTGGGGAAGGTCACTTCGTGAGCACCCCCGCTCTGATACCTCTATATCTGGACCTATCACATTTGATTTCCCCAAGCAATTTGCTGACTCTGCAACTACGGATACTACCTCCCACCTGCCTTCCACCTCGAGCTCACCTCTACCCTGTCTCTTATCTGCCATTATCCTTTTTGCCACCTCCTCCTTCTCACTTTCTTCATCAGCTATGACATCATCATCTTCTTCCTTTCTGCCTGCCTCTACCTTCTGTGCCTCACCATGAACATTTGAACTTCCATAATCCCTTCCACCTTCATACGTATTACACCTGCACCTGCCCTTTACCTCATTCACTATCTGTTCTTCATATACCCTTATGGGATATATTCTTCCTTTACATTCCAGATTTAAACTTGAATTAATCAACTCCATTACACTGGTAACGATTCTAATCCTTCCACGACTGAAAGATGAAGGTTCACATACATGATACATCCTCGTCAAAGTTAACCACCTGACCCCATGCTCTTCCAATTTTTCTGAAAGTATCAGAATTCCACAGGTTCAATGGAATCCCATAACAACTCAACCAGACAAATCTTTCTTGATCAAGATGAAGACCTGGAGCCCAATCTGTGATATATTCACACCACTTGTGAAAACCTACATTTAGTACACTTTCTTTGCTTCTGAGCTCCTCATTTGATTTGAATGTTATTATCACATCCCTACCACCTCCCCTTCTAACTACCATATCACCCAGACCTCTGTTATTTAGTTCCTCTTTCAGCTCCATGTTGGAGTACTGCGGTTTAAGTCTCATGATCTTGCTCGTATATAGCCACCCATTCCCAATCTCCTTTACTTTAATGGTAGTCATTGTTGTGCCTCTTTTCTCAACCCCTTTTAATACCTCAACAAAGGGTCTGTTATCCATACCAGGATTTCTCACATTTTTCTATACAACCTCCATATCTTGTCGCACCACAAACTTTCCCCTGTGATCTGGTTGCCTCCATTTGATTTCAGCTTGCTCTTTCCCATAGATTGCACTTTTAACAGCTAGTGCTTTGTTGTCTATCCATAGGCCATTTGCCTTTTGTTCAGCAATCTGAGCTGCTATTGGGCAATCAAAACGAACAAAACCAAATCTTGTTTTTGTTACTGACCTCCTCTTATTTGGGATAAACACATCCCTAACCACTCCAAACTTTGTAAATAACGTATACATGCTCTTTGGGTGCATTGCTTCTGGTAGATTGTCCACAAATAATGTGAACAAACTTGATCTTCTCTTCTCATTCCACGCTTCCAGCTTCCCGTGCCTACCTTGTTTCCTTACCACCGGTATCCATCCTCCTTGCTCTCGTTGATCAACCATTCTCAACTTCAGTGATAGTACTTTATCCTCCTTATATTTCAAAACACTGTGAATGAACTTATCACTCAATTCAACACTTAACTCAAAATTTAATTCAAAAAATCTTTTCAAATCTTATAACCCAACAAATCATAATTTCAAAACTCACAAACTCAAAATACAATTCTATTCACAAATTATAATTTTAAAATTCTACCAAAAGCAACTCAAATTTTCATCACTATATTTGTGAACAAACAATCGCGAATTAAATTCTATATTATTCTTGTCTTATAGCCAAATAACACCAAATTCATTTTTTTTGCAACACATCACTAGCTTTCAACCCATTTGATCTCTCTGCTCCCCTCTCGCTTTCTTCTTTCCCACTATAGTGCTTCGTGCCTATAGTTGAGCCACTTTGAGCAAGACTTGCATCTTCTCGGTGCTTTGCGATTCATCAGAGATCAGACTTCAATTTCTAGTTTCAATCTCAGATTCCATTTTGGTCAGTGAGTGGACTTTGCAATCTGATTTCGGCCTTCGATTCACATTCATGTCCTTTGAATCGACTTCGTTGTTGTGATTCTTATATTGCAACGAGAATCTGTTGAGTTCAACCTTGCGATTCTTTTTTTCTTATTTCAATCGGACTTCACATTGATTTGATCTTGATTTGATTTTGTGATAGCGATTCCTTTTCTGATTTCGATCTGACTTCACATGGATTCGACCTTTGATTTGAGTTCGCAAACTGATTGTGATCTATAGTCGGCTTCGAGAATCCAATTTCAACTTCAATTGTCTCTGTTTTGAGAAGAAATTTTCATTCTTGATTCTGATCTAGATCTGACCTTGCAGCTCCAATTTGACCTAGATACAAAGTCATGGATTGTACAATTGACCTGGTGATCGATTACAATTCTGATTCGGTATTATATTTTGATTTGTCAATATTGACCTGTAGTTTGTGCGTCTTCATGGCTGATATTGTTCTGTAATATTATTGTTGCTTGGACCAGTTTTTTATTCGCCTTGAGTGTAGTGTTGCCTCGGTCCAATTTGAATATACATTTGTTTCTGTTTGTCTCCAAACAGTGTCAAGAATTGATGACTCAACGCGGTAGGTAAAGAGGAGGAGGTAGAGGTAGAGGTAGAGGTTTTGCTGCAAATTTGGGAGTAGCCGAGATTGAGTGGAACAATGGGAGTCTTTGTCGAATAGATAAAATTGCGGAGTTGAGAAGGCAAATCTCCATGTTGATTGACATGGTTCAACACTATGAAGCACCCACACTTCAAAACAAGGCTGTAGCGGTGTTGGACACAAGGGTTACACATGGGGACATGCCACGTGGTGTGTCCCTTTATTTGATTAATTTTTTGTGGGAGGACAAGCCAACTAGTTTTTTTTCTCCTCTCCTTCAGTATGTTGGATGTTGGAGTCGGATGTTGAATGGTTGTTATTTTTTGGTTAGATTAAATAAATGATACAAGTTACGAATTAACTTAAGAATGGGGTTTTTTTTATATTGAATTATGTAAGTTTTTCTTATTTTTATTTGTTTGTGGATGTAAAATTTTAATCTACATAACAAATAAAATAAAAAATATAAATATTTTTCTATGCTTCTTAGGTGCAACGTTTGCAAGCTCCTGCAAGCTCCTACTGATGATATTGATGTTTCCAAATATACCAAGGATACTCACCATTCTTTTGAGAATCCTTTTGTTGCCCCGCAAAAGTGTCAATCGAGTTCAGAATGTTTTGAGTACAAATGGAGATCATCATTAAGATTGATCTTCCCAATTTCCATGGGAGTCTCGCTTCCTGATCAGTTTGTTGATTGGCTCAAAACTATTTGAGCGGGTGTTTTAGTGTGGTGATGTTTCCGAAAAGAAGGAGGTGAAGTTAGTGACAATTTGCATCAAAGGGGAGAGCAGCTTCTTGGTGGGAGCAATTGTAAGAGAATAGGCAACTCAGTGGCAAGGGCAAAATTTGAGAATGGGAGAAAATGACCTCAATTCTTAACCTCAAAAACAATTCAGTGGCAAGAGCAATTTTTTCCTTTCAATTACTTGCAACCTTGAACAAGAACTTATATAACCTCAAGCAATATGGGAGCATTGAGGGATACACAGAAGCATTTTACCAACTGGTTGCTCAAGTTGACATCAATGAGAGTGAGGAACAAATAGTCGCAAGATATATTAGCGGCTTGGAGCCTTATATGTGCTGGTTCTACACACTTTGTGGTCTGTCTTAAGAGGCTTACAATAGAGCTTTGGTGATTCAGAAGCAACAAAGCCGAGGTGTTGATGGGACGGGACATCACTCAAGGTGGTTTTAGGGAGTATATCCACTCCTAGCTTTGTGTCTAGGTGCGCCAATTCAAGGGTCAACACCTTGATGCCACACTCATTTGTGCCCTTTGGAGAGCTAAAAACATGCCTAAGAAATTGTTGGTGCAAGTGCAAGCAAAGGCCCAAGGCATAGTGCAAGATAGCTCAAGACATGCCATGAAGCAACTAGCCACAACAAGCCACAGACTTGCCTGTCCAAGTAACAACTTTAGGCCAACTTTTGAAGAATCAAATATAATCTTTTTGCCTTGTAAATTTTTATGTAAATACCTTAGTATTAAAGATGTTTGGGACCAAGAGTTGTAATTTTTCTCTTTTTGTAGAATTTTTAAAAATCTATTTTGACTCCTCAAACATAGTGGATGTTTTCTCTTGCCAGTTAGGAAAAGGCTTAACAAGCTATATTAAGGAGGGATACCCAAATGTTGAACCAGACCACTTGTGCTTTTAATGTACCATAACCTACCTTATGGTAAGGCAACTTTTGTAGCACTTTTGGTGCGTTGTTCAACTATTGTAATGCCTTCTTTTGATCAATGAAAAGTTTATTTCGCTTTTAAATTGTGCAAAGTCTTTCAATTGTTGCTTACTTTAATTTTAGCTTGCTGATTGCTATTTTGTGGCTTGTCTCCAATCTTGTGGCTCATCAACTTAACTAATATTGTGTTTGCTTGTCTTTGCAAACCTTTTGAGCTTTATTGGCGGGCTAGTGAAGAGAGTTAACTAGCGCCACGCACACTTGCATATCTTTATCAAGGCTTCCGCATTGTTGGTGTGTGACACTTTGCCAAGGCTAGCCGTTGGTCCTTCATCAAAAAGTGTCCATAAGGGCTGCCCTGGTGAAAACTCAACACACTAATGGTGCTTCTAGAAGCCACCCCAAAGTGGTGGTAAGTGTGGAGAACCGGGTCATAGGCCTTCGGATTGTTGCATGACTTTGGGCAACAAGTGGGTTGAACCTCAAGGTTGAAGATCATCTCATTCCCTTACGTGGTTCAAGAAGGGAAATGAGATCAGAGTTACTAAATGATATTTGGTATTGTTTTCTATTCGCAAGTACTTTGATGGGGACTTTTGAGGCAAAACACTACTTATTATCTTGCACCATAGCATTTTTGGAATATGTACATGTACCAAGAAAGGACATGCTTCACAGACAGAAAAATGGTTGAGCTCAGTGCTGACCCCAAACTGCTACTTCAATAGTACTTTTCCAATTATTATTATTATTTTATTTTTTATTTTTTATTTTTTTGTGCATGTTCTATAATTGCAAATAGACAAATAAGATTCTTCAAGTGGTTGTTTAAGTGTTGAGGGATATAGCAAATTTATGGTCTCTCAGTTACAGTACAATACTGTGTTGCACCCATTCCCCACCAAAGGTAATTGATCCCGTGAGTTTAAAATGTAAAGATGTTAAACCCACTTGTCTTCTCTGTTATCACTTTCTTTCATGAGTGTTCTTGTTTGGCATTTTGTTTTTGTGTTAATACCATCATTATTTTATTTTTGTTTGGTTGGAAATCTTCCTTCCATTAGTTTCAAGTATCAGACAATTGACAATCTTGTTGCTTTATCGTTTAACGCTTTTTGGTTGTTAAGATCCCTTTTATGGCTACTAAAATGCCCAAATGTCAAGAGAGGGAAGGGAGAATGGGGGGGAACTAGTCAGATAAAGGCTTTCCACTATACTACTAGCATCATATTATCTTAAATGGTTATTATTACTATTGTCATGTATGTTTCTTATAGATGGGATTAAGCAAACGCATAATTTTATGGATGGATTAAACTTAAATAAATAAATGGCTGCAGATCATCAGGCTTGCAAGGAAGTTACCGGCTGTTGATGTGAGTGCACTGAGGTCTGTTGCAGCCAAAGAACAAGAGGAGGCACTGGATGAAGATGACCTGACTTAGCTTATCCTGCCAACTCATCTTGATTGATCATCTGGGTTCTTTTTTTTTTAACAAGTGTGTATTTTCCGCTTTTTATATGCAAGATATGAACATTACTTGGTGCCCTAACATTTTCAATGTGCTTTTGTTCCATATACCTGAATATGAAAACACAAGTTTTGAATAGGAGTTCTAGCATATAAGGATATTGAACAAATTTATTTGATATTTTGGATTTTTTTATTTTATTTTATTTTTTGTGTTCTCTCAGCTCGGCGAGCACCGGTCAGAGGCCGCATCAGATAAGTCTGGATGAACTCAGTGTAGTTGCCCTCATCTCTGAAGGGGTCTGAGTTCCAGCCAATCGTGTAGTCCATCATCTCCTCAAAGGTGTACCTCTTGGTATGCCTCATATGGGAAGGAGGTGGCCCCAGAACTATTTGCTCTGCTAAGCCAAGGGTTTGGCGCAGGAAACGCTCACCCAAGTACCAAGCTCGGCAGGCTGGACCCTCCAGCAGAACCCTGAACCAGGCAGTCTCCCGAGCACCCGCATACTGCTCACTCACTACCTCACGCTTCCCAAGACCAAGAAAAAAACCTTACCTCAGTTTTAGCCGAGCTATACACCGTCCTTTCTCTCAAGACCGAGCAAAAATAATTTACACTGATGCTTTAGCCCAGTCACTTGTTGGCCATAGATCCAGAACAAGTAAAAAATAAATAAATATACAAAAAATAGATTCAGATCTATAACTAAA